TAGAGGCCCAAGCACCTGTCAAAATGAAACCCGTATAAGATTAGGCAAATGACCCCTTTCCTCCACCTGCATGCAGTATTGTGGTGGGAATGCTACTGGGTATAACCTGAAAAGTGGTTGCCACCTCTTCCTCCACCCCATGTGCAATGTGGTAGACTGAATAATTTATCAGGTTTCTGCCCAGTGAATGATTCTTTACACACATTGCTGTCAGTGGTGGAGAGGTTAATATTATTTTGATTGGGCCAGGAAGATCACATATAGCATGTAGGTCCTCGTTGTGTAGGTTGTACCCTTTCACTAGCTGTGCCTCTCCAGTCAAGATATATATATTGCCACTTTTGTTATTTTTAGTCTGTCTGTCCATTACCGCGTACTCATTCTGCATTCCTGCAAAAAACAAAACAAAAAAAAAACCAGAAATGATTGTAAAAGTTGTAAATGTAACACAAATAAACAGTTAAATTGCTATTTGAAGAAAAATAAGACCTTTTTTCTTTAAAAGTTTTCAAAGGAACCATTACACAAACTGAATACTGAAAACCCCACGACATCCCAATTTTACCTTAGAAGTAAACAATTAGTTCTGCCTTTGTGTATTTCCTCAAATGACCCACTCCCACTTTTATTTTGAGTTTTAAGTTAAAGGGACACTATAGTCACCAGAACCACTACAGCTTTGGTTTCTGGTGTTTATAGCTTGTCCCTGCAGGCTTTTCAATGTAAACACTGCCCTTCCAGTGGTGGCTAGTTACACCACTAGTGGCAGTCACAGTGAGTGCCACTAGAGGTGCTTCCTATCTTAGCGCTGCTCTGCATGGAGGCACTGAATATTCCCCATAGAGATGCATTGATACAATTAATTTCTATGATTAGAGGCTGATTGGCGCATGCAGCACGGGGCTTTGCGCAGTAGCTTCCCAATGCTTTCCTAGAGGAAAGCATTTTATTAGCTGAGATCATCAAGCTTGTTTGATGATCTCAGACATGGAGGCAAAACCAGGCGGTAAGCTCAGCATGGCGTGGAAGAAAAGGTGAGTAAAAACACCTTACCTGTACGATGCAAGGGTGTCTGGAGACCTAAGGATTTACTGTAACACTATACATGTTTCTGTTCCTGACACAAGTGTTCCTTTAATGTTTGTGTATTTCTTTTTATTTGAAAAAAAGACTTGCATGTATGTTTCAGTTAATATCAGCTAAGCCTTCTGTAATTTTAATAGAAATAAAATGTAACCTGTGGCTCCATAAATATATAATTGAAGAGCTGCATTATTTCATTTTCAGCTGCAATTTAATTGTATGTAATATGTGAATGTTTTTACACGGACTTACTATTATTAGATAACAACCCATCTCTGATTTCCTGGCAACATTTATTTGCTTGTAACATGATGCTTGCACATACCTGGTACCAATTACCAAACCGAGTGATTGTAACATTTTGAAGGAAGAATAGTTCAAGTGTTAACTTCAAAAGAGCAAGAAAATTGGAGTCATGTGTTACTTCAGCAGACGATATTGCTTTAAGTAATACCTGTTCTTTAAAAGTCATTTTGTAAAGTTGTTTAATATGATTTTAAACTCTGTTTTCATTTCTATTTTAAAATGTTTCATGATACCTATAAAAATACTGTCCTGGGTGACATCTCCTGTTAGATATATGTGTATATTTAGTAGATGGAATTAGTACGCTAACACTGCACTTTGTTTTAACACATTGAGCTCTTGTGACCCTATAGATGTATATATTCCCTAAACAGTCACTTTCGGTTACTTTGCAGATGGAAAGAATATGTTTAATTTAAGACAAAGAGTTTATTGAGTTCCATTTATTCTGTTCTCCCAACAAATCTGTTTGATCTAAACGTGCCTTGAAGTTTATTTGCTAAACATTTAAATGAAATGAATATAAAAATGAAAAATTTAGGCTAAAATAACTATTTTGTAAACAAAAAACGAAACCGGCTTTTTTTTTTTTTGTCTTACATTTTGCAATTCCCTACAACTCAAAGATTAGTGAGTAAACCTCCAACTGCTTACAAATGATCATATAATTGAGAAATGACAAATTTAACTGAGAAAAGTTTAATATAATGGCTTTGTAAAACATCATACACCTACTGTTGTGGGAATTGGTCATTTAATTGAATTTAGACAATGTAAAAGAATAATCAGTATACAGATGCAATGTGGAGAGAACATACATTGGTTTAAAAGCAAAACATGGTCAAAGTGTTTTTTCTTTCAACATAGTCTAGTACCAGTTTGTACTATTTGACTATCTTTAAGGGGGTTGTCTAAACACCATAACTAGCACATTTTATTGGTAATTGCGCTATTAGTCTGCATGCACAGTCTGTTGGCCAAAAACTGAGGTTCTCAATGCACTACTACCGTCTCATGTATAGCTAATCGCTAGCGAAATCAATAACACCCATGTATGGATTGATTGCCTAAGTACATTGTGGCAGATATCACTAAAACTCCCTGAAAGACTATATCACTCCCAGGGGCACCCGCAGATCTTTCAACATGCCCCCTACCCAAAGGCAATTTTCCCTCTAACTGTGACTCAGTCTGAGGGAAAAAAGTTATAGGGCTGCAGGAAGGTGCAGGGGGCTACATTTAGGCTGCCTGGGGGCCGGAGGGAGCACTGTAAGGCTCCTTTCCAAATCCCCAGCAATTTGGTGCCTGTATGCTCAGCCTCCACACTCAGGCACCGTCTCCTTTACGTAAGCCCTGCCCCCACACTCACACTGCTGACCTTGCCGGAAGGAAGAAAACAGAACATGGAGACCACCTCCCAGTGCTTCTGTGACAGATAGGCTTCAGCCCATGACATTGAATGTGTGCGTGTGTGTGTGTCTTCTAGTGAGTGGGCTTTTGTGTGTGTGTGTGTGTGTGTGTGTGTCAGTGAGCTTGTCTGTAAGTGAGCATGTGTGTGTCAGTGAGCTTTTCTGTAGGGATCATATGTGTGTCAGTAAGCTTATGTGTAAGCAAGCTTGCGTGTCAGCTAGCTTTTCTGCAGTAAGCATGTGTGTGCCAGTGAGTGTGTCTGCCGTGAGCAAGTGTATATGTGTCAGTGAGCTTGTGAGTGTCAGGGAGCCTTTCCACATTAAACATGTGTGTGTGTGTATCAGTGGGTATTTCTGTAGGGAGCACGTGTGTGTCAGTGAGCTTATGTGTAGGCAAGCTTGTGTGTGTCAGTAAGCTTTTCTCTAGTGATCATGTGTGTATCTGTGAGCTTATCTGTAGTGAGCATGTGTGTATGTGTGTCAGTGAGCTTGTGTGTGTGTCAGTAAGCTTGTATGTAAGGAGCATGTGTGTGACAGTAAGCTTGTCTGTAGTGAGCATGTGTGTGTCAGTGAGCTTGTCTGTAGTAACCTTGTGTGAGTGTCAGAGTTTGTACTAAGTTTGTGTGTGTGTACCAGTAAGCTTGTCTGTGTGTGTCAGTGAGATTTTCTGTCAGTAAGCCTATTTGTGTGTATCAGTGAGCTTGTGTTTTTATGTCAATGAGCTTATGTGTATCGATTGTTTGCCTGGAAGCCTGTGTATCAATGGGCTTCTGTGCTTGTGTCAGTGAGATTGTCCTTGTGTGCATGTGAGTATGCTTACTGTATAATTACATTTTTTACACTAACACCAATAGAAACATTAGAAAAAGAAAACATACTGTAAGGGAGCTCCCTATACCCCTTGCTGGGTACCTCCGCCAAGGACCGCTTCCTAGCTGGAAAAGGGGACAACATGCAGCACTTCTGCCAGCAGTTGCTGTGGTTTGACTTGGGTCCTGGAACCACTCCCTCCTGGAGCCAAATGGGGAATTTGCTCTAGACACCCCCAGGCACTGGATGACACTCAGTTCTGGGAGATCAAGTCCTTACAAGGACTTTCCCCATTAAATCCTCCACACTGAAACAGTGATTAAAGAATAGCCCTTTCCCCTCCAGTAACCAGATGACACATAGTTCTGTGAATACAAGCTGGAATACCTTTATTGGTAGCCACAACTGGTCGTATATGCAGTACCCCATGCAAGGGGCACTCCCCCCTGGACCTGAGAGTGGACAACAGTAAAAATATACACACAATTACATTGGCTCTCAGGTACAGGACACTCCCATACAAAACAAGATAATCCCTCCTTTGTGCCTGGGAGATAATTGAGTCAAGCACTGTATTAAACTCAATTATCTCCAGGACAAAAAAACACACATTTTCCAAACACCACAAAAGTACCTTAAAACTACATAAAACCCCACAAGTTACATCCCCTGATAGCCCCAATCTGGGTGACCAACATATCCAAAAATCGGTTCAGGGGTTCAGGAATTTCCTGGAAGTCATAATTTTGACGACCACACGCATGGTCCCATGCCCAAAACAGTTCCAGAGATTCAGGGTTTGCGGTTGGTCTAGTTCTGGAGTTTAAAAAACGAAACATAGTCAATGTTCTTACCCTGGAGCTTGTTTTCCTTGTTCATGGAAACGTTTCCACTGAGCAGTGTCTTTCTAAGTGTTGTAGAACCAAATGCAGGCAATCATGGAAGTCCAGCGGTGTTCAGGAGTTTCAGTGTCTGAAAATAGTTCCATGAACTCGACGACCAAACACTGCTGCCTGTGTTCATGCGAACAAGATGCTCGCCACCTCGTGGACGTCCATAGGAGTTGTGGCCACCCAGACGAACACTTAGAACACTGCAGTGGAAATTGCTGCAAAGTATCAATTAGGCTTAACAGGGTGGTCTCCGGTTCGTGCGGCTGTTTGGTTCCTGAACCACATAGTCCAAGCACACGAACTGAGACTTTTACATCACATTTTACAGGGTCTACAGTCTGTGGACAGGAGGCTGGCAAGCAGGCTCCACCAGGAACTCGTGGCAAACTCATTTGGAAAGGGGAGTTTGTCACACATACCAATATATATACACATACACACACACACATATATATATATATATATATATATATAGTGTAGATTAGATTCACCATATTAGTGCAGTAGACAAGATGCCAAAATACCAGACAATTGCAGTATGCAATGATACCTGCATACTGCAATACTCTGGTATTTTGGCATCTTATATATCTTATGTACAGATACACACACTACATGGCACAATGACTTGTGGGGCAGGCATACATTTTTTGCCATTGCTGCTTTGTATTCCCAGTCCAGCCCTGCAAAAAAAGGTGCAGAACATGGATGTCATTACAATTATGCCCTCCCCTGGGAAAATTCCTGTGGACGCCCATGATCACTCCCCTGGCCTGTCTTTCTCCTCTCCTCCATAGCAGCCCAAACGGTGACTGTCACTTCCCATTCGCATGCTATTTCCCAAACCGGAGTATACCGAACGCATCAGCGGGACATATCTGTATTCATCCTGGAACTCCGGCTCGGTTACACGTACCACCTTGCCTGGCTAACTTGTCTTCTGGTTTTCACCTCTTTCCCACTACCAAAGGAGAGCAATCTTTTAAGGGGAGTTACAAATACCTTGGGAAAAACAATCACTACCTATGAGCCAGGGGGAACCCCCCGATCCACAACTGTCCAGAGACCACGTTAAAGTACCAGCAAATACCTATAATCGCCTGGAACTGCTTTCGGCATTAGACCACATTAGCTGTTGGTCCAAACTTTAGCAGGATGGCGTTTCTCCAAACCTCCATGGATCAGAGTGCTATTTAGACCAATTGGGCGCTACACTGAGAGCTATCCGGGGATATACGACTCGTGGGGGTTCATAACCATTTTCCATATATTGTCTGGGTTTTTATGTAATTATCTCTGTATCCGGGAGATAATTACCAAGGTTTGACTCAACTATCTCCCAGACACAGAGACTCCTGGGCGGAACCTGTGTGTAAAAGTATGAAACCCCATGCTGAGGGTTTGTGCATAAAAAGCTGCATTCTGAGAAATAAAAACAGATTACTCCCAGAACTATGTCTCATCTGGTTACTGGGGGGGAACAGAGCTATATTCACTAACGTTCCAGTCTGGTTGAGAGGAGAGTTTAACAGAGCTAACCAGTCAGGTTACTGGTGGTCCACTACACACGGCAGATAGTGTGACAGACAAATACTACACTGTATATTATATTATTGCTTAACTGCTCATGAGCACATGAAGGATCTCTATGCTATTGTGTAAAAAATACAGCTGTTCTAAAGATTGGTTAAAAAATGAGCAAGATTCACAAGAAATTCATAAATCATCAACTTACTTAGGGAAACAATGTAAGATGAAAAATTTTATAAACTTAACTTTTTCTTGGATGAAATAAAGCAAATCTAAATAAAAAGCAAGAAAAAAAATCAAAGAAAGAAGGAAACTAAAATACACGAAATTAGAAAATTTCCAGTATTAGTGCTGTTCATTAATTTTAACCTTAAGATGAGCATCAGTTAAAATTCTAATTACATGTAGACCAAAGAGATAAAGAAAACAAAAAGTTTTCAATCTAGAAATTGGATAAAAGCAGCAATAAATAAATAATATATATATACATATATTGTAAAGTACAGTCTGAAAACCTTTAATGTCTTACTGTTCAACTTTTCCATAATTGTGATAATGTGTCACTCAAAGTAATCACTACACTATGCAGCAATTAAAGGTTATTGCAAAGTGGGTTCAATGTCTACAGAATAAATCCATCACGTAAAATCTTGCACTCGTGATGTTGCCAAGGGCAGTCATCAAGTGTCATTGCTTGATGTGGTAAGGACATCCTCTCTTGCAATGCTTAGGATACATTCACTTACAGTTCTAGCTGCATGCATTTTATTGGTCTTGTGATTTTCGGCAGAATAGCCCATGAAAGGTTGTAAGGATAATATTTATATATCACATTGACTTTATTTTGATTGAACACTACTTTTCAATTTTATTGCCATAGAACTTTCTAACATGCATCTAATAAAATGTTGGTTGTCCATTAAGCATTAATCAAGCAACTGGAAGTTGTACTCTAGAATGCTTTAAATGGAAAAAGGAAAAACAGGACGGGATTTGCAGAATTGAAAGGGGTGAATGGAGTGTGGACCTTTAAGACAGAGTGAGAGATAGGTTTGTGAAATACAAGTTACTACGGGAGGCCACGGGCTATCCTGAAGAGATAGGTTTTTAGGAAGTTCTTAAATGATTGAAGACTAGGGGAGAATCTGATGAGAGTAGACAAGCTGTTCAATATATATAATGAACAGCCACACACATTTTATATATAAAAAAATAACCAAATAAATTATTACATATTTTTCTAAATATTAAACTATTAATTAATTTAAAATATTAAATCAGTTGTAAAGCTTATCCAAAAATATTAAATTCAGGCCTTATTTATATTTTACAAAATGTATGTATTTTGTTTTGTAATTTGTGAGGGTGTAAGCAATTATACTTTGTGATTAATATATGATGTAGATATCCTCCCATTTAGGCTATACATCAAATCAAATAATATTTCATAAAGATTTTAAAACCTCAAAGAAGCACTACAGCATTAGGAATACAAATGTAAATTTCTACTGCTATAGTGCCCTAGTTATCCTGTCATGGTTTAAAAGTGAGTTTAATTACCCTTCCTCCCAAGACGCACTAGTCTCCAGTGTGCAGCTTCACTCCTTTGGCTGAGATCATTGAGATCGATGATCTCAGCCAATCCAATGCTAGTAAACATGCATTGAAAAATGTCATATTGCTTTATGAGACCATCTGATTAAATTATTGGAGTTTTACTGCACCATTTAGGTGGAGCTCCTCTGGGGCACTAGAAGCAGTTTAAGCCTGAAATTAAAACATTGCCGTTCCTGCAGAAAGGCAATGTTTTGAGCTGAAAGATTAAAATGGGGGCAGGAGAACATGGACTCGGTGCCTATTGTATTCCTGTAAAGGGTCAGTGACTTGCTATATCTGTTAGCCCTTTAAATTACAGTCCCATTATTTTCATATTTTACATCTCAAACTTACTCTGCAGCACTTAAGAATATTAAAAAGGGGACACAAAACAGCAGCTAACTATTAAACCGAGATGTGAAAGGGCCCTGATCATTCCAGTTTGCAATCCAGTTTCAGCTAAAGATTGCAAATGGTTTGCGCATGGAGCACATTGCAAAGACCCTATACAGCTATATCCATACTTTTATATCTGAAAATATCCACAATTTCTCTCAATCCCCCGTGTCATGCTACTAGGCTAGCACATGTTTTGATCGAGAAATGAGAGAAATTTTAACTATCCCCGGCATATTAAGCACAGAAAGATTCTGTATAATAATGCTTTGCACTCATAGAAAATATAACTAAAAGTGCGTTTTTGATCAAGGAAAAAAATGTGCACATTTTACTTTGAATGTTAACTAATGGATGTAAAATTGTTGACATTTTATACAGTGTCTGCTTATGACTGGGTGATGTTCCATTGTGTATCTGAAATATTTCACAAAAAAAGCTCATCTTTCCGTTTGATCATTGAATTCCTTATTAATCTCTCCATTATTAACAAATGTTGCAACTCATTGCATTCTTCAATGCCAAACTATGTTGAGACCCAGAACCTAATAGGTTTTATACTTCTATTTGTATAACAGAAATGATTAAATAACTTTTTATGAAATCCGGAAGAGATTTTTTATATGCTTCTAAGGTATCATTTGCTGCTCGGTAATAACGCAAAGATGAGCAGAAGGTTTATTCTTTCATTTCCATATTGGTAACCACCTTAATATTGCTTTAGTAATTAAATTGTCCCATCATCAGTATTTGAGCATATCATTGCAATACTCCTTGAGAGAGCCAAGCAGGAGCCAAGTGTTTTGTTACAGCTCTGACTCTCTGCCCTTAATTTTAATCTAAACAGTCTTTGCTGTGTCTGCCAAAATATTAATACCATAATTTCTCAATGTCATACTTCACTTACACAGACAGCTTCTAACTTTGGTATATGTTTGACTTTTCAATATTAGAAGGTCACGGGGAAAAAAAAATCTGATTAAAAATTAACACTTCGAGTGCCAGTGAGGTGAGAGTTTATGTTGCATTGCAATGCACTATGTTGCTTTACTTCCAGTTGTTCAGGGTACTAAAATAAAATCTAGTTTTTTGGGGGGTTTTTGGTGGTGTTTTTGTAAGATAATGCGATATGATATGGCAAAATAGATAGCGATGTTTGACGAATTTTACTTTTATTTTATTCTTATTTTTAACGCAATGAAAAACAAAGAATCATATCAATTTATAACATATAGAACAGACAGTTGACTAAAATGTATTGACTTTGTGTAATTCAATAACAATTAAATGTACTGTGTGTGGTATATCATGTGCTACAGTACCTATTAAGAGCCCTGAATTGGAAATATTTTTGTGAACTCCTCACAGTCAAATAATTATGTATATAATAGAAAATATTAAAGTTTTTCAAATCCATGACTGCTATCTCCTCTCTCTCCCATTCACTGTGCTCCAGTGGTCTGGTAGGTTTTCCCAGAATTCCTGGTACCTAGTCCTGGGCCCAACATTGCAACCAATTTGGTTACCATGCCAATCACTCTGTCATTCCTGGGGTTGGCCTAAATATCCAATAAACTAAATGCATAAGAGTTAAATATTGAAACATATTGGAGATGCCATATTGCTTTCAATACAATGTATTAAGATCCCGGAGGTTGTTTATATTACACTGCTGGGTGATGCTTTGGAGTAGTGGTTCTTACCTTGAGACGGGGACCCATCTTGTGCACATGTATTAAAGCTACAATCCTTAAATCTTTAAACCTTCCAGGCATTTTTCTTCTTAAAAACTCAACAACAACAGTTTCATTTACCATTCAAAATTCTTTCCAGAATGTTTTGTATATTTAAAGGTCCAGTCTAGAACTGTAAAATTAGCTCACTAACCAATATTTGAATTTGATCTAAATTCAAACAAATATATAAAGCCACATTCATTACATTGTTTTCAATATCAGAGGAGGTCTTCAGTGGAGAAACCAGCAATGCTACTACAGACAATGTTTGTGTGGGTGTTGTGTTGTCATGTGTTTTTTTTTGTGCTGTCATGCAAAAAAAGCTACAAT